AGAGAGAGAGAGAGAGAGAGAGAGAGAGAGAGAGAGAGAGAGAGAGAGAGAGGCATATGAGGAAGAGCGACACAACAACAAAGGACGAAGAAAGGCGATAGAGAGAAAGAGAGGGGGGAAGAGTGCTACATTCGACTTCCTGGTCATGTGTACACACGTCTTCGTTTTGGTCCATCCTATTCAGAATCTGCAGATGCAGTCGGACTCATCGGAGGAGGAAGCCAACTGCCGTGATGAAGAAAGAGACGAAGGAATAAGAGGGGACGGAGAGAGAGGAGAAAGAACAAGAGGAGGGGGAAGGAGAAGGGGAAGAGCCGAAAGAAACCAGTTGCGCGGCGACCAACTGTCAAGTACTAGTAGGAGGAAGAGGAAAGAAGAGGAGGAGGAGGAGGAGGAGGAGGAGGAGGAGCGAGAGGAGGACAACTCACCTACTACGACGCTGCCAAGAGACAAGGGTTCCTCCACTTCCTGAACAGCCCCCACGTCGGCGCGCACATCTCTTCTCCGTCCCTGTATTTGCTGGCCGTCAACAATTTCTCTACCTATCACGACGTCGCCCTTCACTTGTGTATTCGAGGACAAATTGCCACGTGGCATTTTCCCAGCCCTGCTACCCGTAGTCTGCTGTGCTCGACAGCAAATTCGCCCAGGAGAGCGAGAGCAGACAGGTGCATGATGACCGTCGGTCCGACGGCTCAGAGCACATTGACGATGCAGAGCGCCCGGTAGCTGCACCGGTCGCCCGAGGCGGTAGTCGGACAACCCGGCAGTCGACGACCCCGGCGCAGAAGGGCGGCGCCCAGATGCAGGACCGGGCGTTGCCCTCGTGCCCATCCCCGCCCGGGCGCAAGCAGTCGTCGTTGACCCGGACATTGTCACCGACGATGATGCTATCGCCTCCATAGCCGCGATGGCCGAAGATTCAGTGTCTTTCCTTCCAGGAGCGCCCTCTCCCTCAAAAGAGAGACACAGAGAGAGAGAGAGAGAGAGAGAGAGAGAGAGAGAGAGAGAGAGAGAGAGAGAGAGAGGAGGATCAGCTGCCGAGTACTGGTGGGCGCCCCGCCGACCGCTGCATGACCAGAAGACACCCGCGCTCGGCGAAGAATCGGCGACCGCGCGACGACAGCTCGAATTAATTTAGAATTCGAACATACAAGTAAGAATAAGGAAAACGAAAAAAAAAAAAAAAAAAAAAGAATAAGGAAAA